AATTTCAATCGTGAATCCCTTTTAAGAGAATAGATTCTCATTTTTTTGATGACCTACCACTTATTTGTTATAAAGTCAATGCAGAAGTTTCTCGAAAGACGCGAAGATAGGTAAATCCACACACGAATTTCTTGCGAACCATGTGACACCAAAATTATTGTGGCACCATGCTCACTCCATAATTAATCTACGTGTCGTAAATAAATAATAAATGTGGAAATAATAACACGTTTTTGGTTTTGGATATGATTAGAGGTTGAAAGCATTGTGAAGGGAGCAAAAGCACTCGTCTTTGTTAAATAATGGGGTAATGGGCTAGAGCAATGACTATTGATTCCCATGAGGAGGCTTCTGGGCAGAGGGTAAGTCTCCAGAAGAGCGCAGTGTGCTTCAGTCGAAATGTGAAGGGGATATGATCAAATATTTTTATTGTGGAAAAGGCTTCAGTGTTGGAAGGACAAACTTCTTAGTGCGGCGGGCACGGAGTTACCTGTCAAAGTGGAGAGATTTTTCTTTGTGTTTGGAACACAGGGCGATACACTACTTATTATAATACAATTGGAGGGACACTTGAAAAATAAAAACGTCTCTCCGATTGTATTATGACATGAGGTGTCTCGCCCTATTTTCAGGGCACACATAAAATTTCTCGTCAAAGTGAAAGCACAATCATTTCTCTCTACACGATGATTGAACATTTTTGCGATGACCTCAGTCGGATCATGGCTGCCTTCTGGTGGAGAAAACTTCACTTGCTTTCTTGGAAAAGTTATGCTCTCCTAAGAGTGAATGTGAACTTGGGTTTCGTAATCTTTATGCTTTCAACTTTGGCCTCCTAGCAAAACAAGGATGGTAAATTATTGTTCGTGATTCAGCAGGACAATTTGTTGCGGGCGCTTCAGTCAAATATGATCACGTTCCATATGTTTTCCAAGCTGAACCCTAGCAGCTAGGGAAGGATTGGCTTTGGCTTCGATGAGGGACTTAAAACAACTTTATTTTTTAGAGCGACTAGCGCGAATCGTTGCAGCATTAAATAATATGCTTTGCTATGAAACACGGATATTTTAGTTTAGTCACGTATCAGTATCTTATATTTTATCATATACGATACTTGTCGGATATATTTGTTGAATACAAGTATTCGGCTTTTAAAATATCATTATACTTTCAAATGAAAAATTAAGAAAAGAAAATATCAGAAAACAAAGATTTAGTTGAAAGTTGATGAATACAAAGAGTTTGCGTCTAATGAAACAAGGAATATAACTCTCACACCTGAATGAACTTGAATTTGGAATTTTTTTTTATTGTCGTATCTATTGCATATCATATTTTAGTTTTTAAAAATTTTACATATCGCTGTGTCGTGTCAACATATGTGTATTTGTATTCATGCTTCATGAATACTTCGTATAAATCCAATCTCGTTTTTACAATTTTAGTACCATCCACGTAATCAGGTTGCCTTAAACGAAGTTTTCTCCACCCATGACCATGATAAATTTTTAGTTGTGACGGGAATATGGATGCTATACCACGTATTTTTATGTAAGTGGTGGAAAATTTTAATTTTTAAGTTAACATACATATCCCACTATTTATATAGAGACACGTGATGTACCACCTCGTGTGACGGTCACATTGAAAAATATCTCCATGGCCATAGCTGAGAGCCTAAAATAAATAGGTCAAGGTACTTACTACTTGGAACGAGTCATCATCTTTTTCGTCCCAATGCCATTTGTTTCCACCTTAACCATGCACCTAAGCACTTCGAAACCAACAAAATTCACCTACGAATTCGCCAACTCCTCTCAAACACTATCATGCTGTCCACCCAAAATCCTGCCACATTTGTACGTGTCCAAATGTTGAATCTCTCCCCATGCACGTACGTTAAAGCCCCCTCCCCCTTCTTCTCCATGCTTTTCTCCACTCTCTAACGTAAATATCAAACATTTCACGAAAAAGTTCTTCTTACAATTTCATAAAATATAATAAAAAAACAATACTTTTGATCTGAAAAATGAGCCAAGAACAGCCGCGGAGACCTGAAGATCAGAAGGAACCGGTGACATATGGGGATGTGTTTCCCGGCGTTCAGGGCGCCCAGCTGGCGGACAAGGTGGTGACGCCCAAGGATGCCGCCATGATCCAGGCGGCAGAAAATGCTGTGTTGGGGCAGACCGTCAAGGGTGGTGCTGCTGCAATCATCCAGTCCGCTGCCACGCAGAATGAGAAGGCGGCTGTTTTCGGTTCAAGTGACGTGAAAGCGGATGTTGGAGGAGACGGCGGCGGGGTTAGCGTTAAGGAGGCTGATCTTCCGGGACGCCGTATATTAACGGAGTCGATCGGAGGACAGGTTCGATATATTTCTTGCATAGAGTATATTTATATGCACACAATTGAGTTCTATAGCTAACAACTCAAAGTGCTTATATATAATTTTACATTCAACTTTTTAATTTATTTGATTTTGAAGTGTTCCTTTGTTCGATTCTTCTTGATTGGTTCTAGGGTTCGGATTCAAATCAAATGCAAGTAGATCATGAAAAGCAAAGGAAAATCCATGAATTGATCGAGGTATAAAGTTTGACCTTAAAATTAAGTAACCATGTACTATTATAAAAAAGAATCAAGGAAGTTTGAAAATTTTGAACCAAAATAGAAACGAAAAAAAACACTAAACAAAAAGTAAATGATTTAGCATGGGCCAAACGGTGTTATATATTCTAGAAAAAACTTAAGTACTTCGTATTATGTATAACGAAAGACTTGGAGCTAACGGTGGACTTAGTGCAAAATCAAGCTCAATGACGTTTCAGGATTTACACAACCGACCTTACTTATAGTGGAATAGAAGCTCGTTGTTATTGTTGTTCTTAGAAAACACTAATATACAAGCTAATAAGATAAATTTGGTGAAACAACCTTGTTCAAACATTTGAACTCAAATTTATAAAGTTATAACAAATTATTGTCAAATTATTTCTTACGTTGGTGACTATTAATTTAATTTTCATTTTGCTTTAGTTGCACTTGCACATTGGAAACGAAAATATATAATACATGCATATGCGTTTGTGTATGTTCTTTGTGAAGGGTAGGTTGTGGGGCAATACAGCCAGCGAGCTCCATTGGCACCACCAAACACTATGCAACTTGTCGGAGGCTCCGCCGTTCAAATCACCATTGGTGAGGCCCTGGAGGCCACGGCTATGACAGCCGGACAGAAGCCAGTTGAGTGGAGTGACGCCGCTGCAATTCAAGCGGCCGAGGTTAGAGCCACTGGCCGCACCAATATAGTACCTGGTGGTGTGGCCGCTGCTGCTCAGTCGGCTGCAACCCTCAATGCTCGGGCTACAAAGGACGAGGAGAAGACCAAACTGGCCGACATTCTTGCGGTTAGCAAATTCAATGATAATTTGATCACTTTGGAAAAGAACATGTGAGTGACATTTAGTATTATGTATGTATTGCAGAATGCAACTTCAAAGTTACCGGCAGACAAACCGGCAACACGTCGAGATGCTGAGGGAGTGACTGGTGCAGAAATGCGAAACGATCCATACCTGACTACACATCCAACTGGAGTGGCGGCTTCAGTGGCGGCCGCTGCTAGGCTGAACGAGAATAATAGCAGCCAAATGCCAAAATAGTTTGCATATGTGAGTCTGGAAGCATCAGCAATACACGTATATCAGTATATGAAGGTTGCTTGGGTTGTGTTGTCACTTATGGTAGCCGCCATGGCCATGTTTTTCGGAGTCTGAAATCGTTTGTTATCTTCCAAACAGATGTTCTTTTCCGTTGGGGGTTATGAATATGGTGAATAAAGGACATTATATTCACTAGTAACAGAGTTTCACTACTTGGTTTTGAAGTGTATTAATTTACGATAGTTTGTATCTGTAGCTTAATTGTGACCTCGAGTTTGATTTTTCGTTGGCACTGTTTGCTTGAAGAATAAAATTGAAAGATGATTGGTTGAATTGCAGGAAGAAATGAAAGAAAAGTGTGAAGAAAAAACAAGTTGAAAATTTTTGGGCATTATATTGCTCCTGTAATTAGACATGAAAATAGGAAAAATACGCAAGTAAATCAGTTATATATTTCTAATTAAGCAATAATTTGAAAGTGTGTTTACTAAAAACGATTTTAAAGAAATGTTTTGGGTTTTAAAGGCAATAGAAGTACTTCATGCAAGAAGCATTAGTTATGTGCTTCCTCCGGGAAGCATTTTAAGTGCTTTTCCATGCTTCTTTCAGGAAGCACTTCAAGTGTTTTTCTAAGATTTACTTGAGTTTTTACAAAAGATGGATTCCAAAAACATTTTTAACAAAAACACTTTCAATCATTATAGAAACACTTTCAAACGAGCCTTTAAAGTTACAACTAAGACCGGGCATATCAAAACTTGACCCCCTAAATTAGGGCATGTATACTCCTAAAGAATCAGAATTGAAATCATTTTGTAGACAAGGGCAGTTAGGATGAGCTGTTAGGGCAGTCAAGATGAGTTGTTATCATTTAAATGTACTTTGTATTTAATTGTATTATATAGCTGCTATAGGAACCCCTATATTCTGTAGACCTCTTGGTGTATAAAGGCTTGTAAAGTTTACCCAAAAGTCAATGAAAATCTGAAACTTCACATGGTATTGAGCCTCTGATCCTTTTTTTTCCATGGCTTCCGTAACTTCCTCTCCTTCATCTCCCATCCCAAATATTTCTACACTAGTTTTTGTCAAACTTTCTGAGTCTAATTACTTACCTTGGGAAAGTCAAGTTAAGCCATTCTTGATTGGCAAAAACTTTTGGCGTTTTGTAGATGGAACACACCCGTGCCCTCCTTCCTTTCTCACCACCACCACTCATGCCACTTCACCAAATGCCTCTGCGGATTCAGACTCCTCCACAGTGGTGCCTCCTGTGACTACTAGCATTCCCAACCCCGACTACCTGGTGTGGTACCAGACTGATCAACACTTGTCAGCATGTTGCGTGCTACGCTTACAGAGCCTGTTCTTTCTTTGACCGTCGGGTTGTCTACTTCTCGTGAGATTTGGGAGCATCTTCGTAAAAAAATTTCTCAACAATCCATTGCCAACTCTACCCATACTCGTTTTCAGTTGCTGTCTCTTCATAAAGGTACTAAAATAATTTCGGACTATCTGGGTCTTGCCAAACACTTGGCAGATCAATTGGCTTCTATTGGCCAACCTGTTCAGAATGATGATTTGGTGACTTATGTAAATGGCTTGGGGCCTGAATATGAGATTCTTGTCTTGGCGCTAACCAACTTCCCTTATCTACCGACATTCAACGATTTACGTGCTCGTCTTCTGGTTTATGAATCCAAACATGTTATGTCTCAAGCTACTTTGGCTCCCTCCGCTTTCTACTCCGTACGTAATTCTGGTAGTAATCTCTCTCAGGGACGTGGTAATCTGTCCTCCCGCCCTCATGGCACTTCAAGTAGCAATCGACTTCCTCGTACTTATGGTGGTGGTCGTTCTACTATGCATGGTGGTGCTGGTCGCTATGGTCAGCGTGCTACACATCAACGCCCTGGTATACTTGGACCCGGTCCTGCTACTCGTGGCCCTTAATGTTGGTCATGCAATCAATTTGGTCATATAGCTGCGTTGTGTCCTCGAGAGCCTCGTTCTGATGATGACATCTCTCGAGCTTTCGCTAGCATGCACATTGCTTCCCCTTCTGATCCTACATGGTATCCGAACACTGGTGCTACTCACCATATGACAAGTGACTCTCGTTCCATTACTTCGGCTACGGGGTATGGTTCTAATGACAAGGTTGTTGTGGGTAATGGTGAGACCCTCCCTATTGCGCACACTGGTAATATTTCCTTTAAGTCCGGGTCATTCATTTTTCAGTTATCCCAAGTTTTGCATGTTCCAGCAATTCGGAAAAAATTTATTGTCGGTTGCTAAGTTTACACATGATAATCTTGTTAGTCTAACGTTCTTTCCATGGGGTTTTGTCGTACGTGACTTAAAGACGGGTGTTGTTCTTTTTAGGGCCTATGTGAGGATGGTCTTTATCCCATTAAGCTTGGTCTTGCTTATAGCAATGGGTCTACTGCCAAACATGATTTTGCTTCCATTTTTGCGTCACCCTCACTCTGGCATCGTCGTCTTGGACATCCCTCCCGTCAAGTTCTTAGTGTGTTAGCATCTAGTGATGTACTAGGCTCATCTTTTCCTATCTCCACTAAAGATTTTTGTAATTATTGTGCGTTGGCTAAATCCCATCGCCTAGCATTTACGTCTTCCGAACACTTTGCTATGACCCCTTTTGAATTAATACATTCTGATGTTTGGATGTCTCCTATTGTGTTGGTGTCGGGTTTTCGTTACTATGTCTTGTTTACAGATGATTACACACGATACACATGGATTTATCCCATGCGTAAGAAGTCTGAGGTCTTTAATCACTTTAACAATTTTATTACTTTCATTTTTAATCAGTTTTCTACAATGGTTAAAATACTCCAAAGTGATGGGGGTAAAGAATATGATAATTTGTCCTTTCGTCAATTGTGTGCGCATAAAGGGATTCACCATAGATTTTCTTGTCCACATACCCCGCAGCAAAATGGACTTGCAGAACGGAAGCACCGTCATATCTCAGAAATGGGACGCACCATGTTACTTGCTGCCAGTCTTCCGCATAAATTTTGGGCTGAGGCACTTTGCACCGCTGTTTATATAATTAATCGGCTACCCACTCCTGTTCTCAAGTGGGCTTAAAATTTTATTTGGCCGAGCTCCTGATTATATGTTTTTGCGCACGTTTGGGTGTGCTTGTTTCCCATATCTTGGTGATTATGCAACTAACAAACTACAACCCAGATCCTTGTCATGTGTTTTTCTTGGCTACAGTGACAAATATAAAGGCTATCGTTGCTTCCATCCCCCAACTGGACGTGTCTACCTGTCCCGCCATGTTACGTTCAATGAAGATGATTTTCCATTCCACTCTTCTATGGCATCGTCTTCCGTGCAACAATCAGACTTGGTATTTGTTCCCATTGTCCCCATACCTGCCCCACCTTAACCCCACCATACCTTGTCACCCATGTTGCCCTTAATGCAACCCGTGACTTTGCCTCAAAATCTGGCAGCGTCCTTTCCTGCTGCAATTCAACAACAAAATATGCATGCACCACTCGTGACCATGCCTTCTCATCCACATACATCTCCCTTGCCAGCTGGTGACGTGGAACCACTACTACCTACACCACCCGTGACTATGCCTCAAAATATGGAACTAGTTGCTGTCCACACCTCTGCCCCTCTTCCTACGTCAATTCCTGCTGCAACTTAGCTGCACCAATCACATCCACATACATCTCAGTTGCCAGCTAGTGGCGTGGCTCATGCTCCTTCCTCAGGACCTCACACATGGTCCAAGTCTGGAATTTTCAAACCCAAAACCAAGGCCTACTTTGCTAGTCGTCATCCTATTCCCTCTGCGATGACTGCCCTTGTTGAATCCGATGCGGAGCCCACCTGTTTTACACAGGCCTCACGGTCTCCTCAGTGGCGCAAGGCCATGCTGGATGAGTTCAATGCGTTGCTCAAACAAGGTACATGGACTTTAATTCTTCCCGTTCCTTATGCTAACATTGTCGGATGTAAATGGGTGTTTAAAATAAAACGTCATTCTGATGGGTCGATAGAGCATTACAAGGCGCGTCTTGTCGCCAAAGGTTTCCATTAACAACCTGGGGTTGATTACACAGAGACCTTTAGTCCCGTTGTGAAGCCTACCACGATTCGAACCGTGCTCAGCCTAGCCGTGTCCTTTGGTTGGCCGATACATCAACTTGATGTGAAGAACGCATTTCTCCATGGTTCACTTATGGAAGAGGTTTATATGGCCCAACCACCTGGATTTGTTGATCCAAGTCGTCCCAATTATGTTTGTAAGCTTCGGAAATCCATCTACGGTCTTAAACAAGCTCCGCGAGCTTAGTTTCAACGCCTAAACACCTTTCTCATGCAGGTCGGCTTTGTTCAAAGTCGAGCAGATAGTTCGATGTTTACATATCATCATGGCTCCACTATCCTTGTTTTTCTTCTATACATGGATGACATCGTTTTGACTGGTAATTCCTCTCCCTTTATTCAATCCTTTATCCAAACTTTGAGCACTGAGTTTGAACTAAAGGATCTCGGCAAGCTGCACTACTTCCTTGGCATTAAGGTATCCTATTTATCCAATGGTATTCACTTGTCTCAGAACAAATATACCTTGGAATTATTACAACGTGGTGACTTATTAGAATGTAAACCTTGTTCCACACCTATAGCAGCCAAGACTCAACTTTCTGCACACACCGGTGCTCCCCTCTCGGATCCATCTCTTTATAGACAGCTTGTGGGTTCCTTGCAGTATCTTACGTTAACTCGGCCGGACATTTCCTTTGCTGTACAAAATGTTTCTTAGTTTATGGGTCATCCTACTACTGCTCACATGGAAGCGGTTAAGCGAATATTGCGTTATCTTAAAGGCAGTTTGGGTATGGGCCTTCGCTTAACTTCATCTTCACAACCATTTCGTCTCATTGCTTATTCTGATGCGGATTGGGCAGGGTGCCCTGACACACGTCGTTCTACCACTGGCTTTTGTATTTTCCTTGGTGACAATCTGATTTCTTGGTGTGCTAAGAAACAACGGACGGTCTCTCGATCCAGTGCCGAAGCGGAGTATCGGGCTCTTGCCTTTGCATGTGCTGATTCTATTTGGATAACAGGTCTTTTGCGTGAGCTTCGTGTACCAGTCTTTGAGCCAATACTGATGCATTATGACAATCTGAGTGCCACTTATATGGCTGCTAATCCGGTCTTTCTTGCTCGCACGAAACACATTGCTTTGGATTATCATTTCGTCCGGGAACGTGTTGCTTCCGGAACTCATCGTGTTCACTTTCTTCCTTCCATTTCGCAACTGGCTGATCTTTTTACGAAAGGCCTATCGAAGACGCGTTTTCAGTCCTTGTGTTCCAAACTTGTCTCCTCTCCGACGTCAAGTTTGCGGGGGAGTGTAGACAAGGGCAGTTAGGATGAGCTGTTAGGGCAGTCAAGATAAGTTGTTATCATTTAAATGTACTTTGTATTTAATTGTATTATATAGCTGCTATAGGAACCCCTATATTCTGTAGACCTCTTGGTGTATAAAGGCTTGTAAAGTTTACCCAAAAGTCAATGAAAATCTGAAACTTCACACATTTTGATTCTTTGAGTTTCTAAAATACGAACATAAGAATCATTTCATTCTTCACTTATCCCTATGTTCACTAACACAAAGAATCGAACAAAGTTTAAATTTCAGCCTGAAATCTATTTATTATTAAATTAATATGAAAAGTTTGGAGTGTCAAATTTTTGGAGTGCCAATAACAATTCCCTAAATAACAATGTCATTATACATTCCTCATAAGTGCATTTTTATTTCTAATTATGGAAAGTTTGAAGTGTCAAATTTTTGGAGTGCCAATAACAATTCCCTAAATTATTTACCAAATTCATTGTAGATTGAATAATTAAAAAAAAGCCTAATTGGATAAATATCATGTAATAATAGGGAAGTTAGAAGGTAGCTCCCGTGGTGAAAAAAAAAATCGAATTTAAACTCTTTAAGGATTTAAGCACAAAAACTAAATTTTCGTTAATTCTCCGTTAACCCATTAGTCATGGCTCCACACTCAACAACAAAGCATCCTCCGCCTCCCCATCTGCAAAACGGCCAACCATAGCTGAACGTATGAGGTTTTTTTTTAATATAAAATTGTTTTTGTATTGCTGTTGATTTTTTTAATTATAAGAAATTGAATTTTAATAACTATTATCTATTTATATATTTATATGATTGAAACATAATAAAATACATTAAGTATAGACGGGTAGACAATTTCGGATGGTAGGTTATAAATAATAAATGTGTTATAAATACTTAAACATGGTAAGTTTTAATAATAGGGACTTAAATTAGATTTATAAAACCATTTAGGTTAAAATCTAAAAGGAATCATATTTAACTCATAAAATCTAAAAGCCCCCATCTCTTTTCCCTCTAACTCTCTCTCTCACCTAGCTTGTCTCTCTTCTCTGCAACAACACAGAGAAATCACCCTTACTTGCCATCTCCTCCGCTGAGCTCCACCAGGCCATTCCAAATCACCATCTCGCCCTTCTCTTTTCTTTGGACCAAGAAAAATCTAGGATGGGGCTTCGAGCTCAAAACTAAACCGGGGAACCCTCGTATTCGAATCAAGGACAAATCTCCCTCTCACATGCGTCAACGGTTAAAAATCACCTACATACAGTTAGAAATCACGAAGATGCATGTAGGTCGCATTTTCAGAGAGAGAGAGAGAGAGAGAGAGAGAGAGAGAGAGAGAGAGAGAAGGGTTTTTTATTTTGAAAGGAGGAATGAAATGGATTGGTGTGCAATTAATTAATAGTTAGTGGTCATTGCATATTGTGTTTTACAAAATGGGCTTTTTTTAATTTGTGTTTTGTAAAAGGGGCTATTCTAGCTTAAGTACGCAAAATATTAAGTGGTCACCATCACCTGTAAGCGTTCAAGAGATCAGTTTTGATGTGGCAAATAATGTATAAAATCAATATATAATGAGATAAATTTACCAAATATAAAGAACGATAACTCTAAACTCAAAACCCTAACTAGAGGTAGAAACTTACATCACAAGTAATCTGGCGGTTACAATCTCTTGCCACATCATGTGGTATGGTTGGTTGGTTGCATGGGCGTGTACAAGGGTCCATTGGGATCCTATTGTTCAATCAAACTCACAAAAGCATGATACCCCTATATTTTGATCCCCAACCAAGACTGTAGGCATACCATTAAAAGGGGGACTTTGCGTCCTAAGACCCTACATGCATTGCACATTTGTATCTCTTTCCATTTTTGCGAACAAAGCTCAAACAATAGTGGTGGCAGTGGATCCCACATCGACTAACTAAAGTCAAAGGAGTCAGGCGGGATGGGTATAAAAAGAAAAGGATGGGCACGGTAAACATACTTACCTGGACAAGGTCAATGGGCGATCAAGAAGGCTCATGGCCTAGGTTGGTGACTTTCATTGCACTCTGAAGGGGTGCCTGCCTATGGTCTCCTCAACGTAGGAGAGCCAATGTCAAAATTTGTTGCCGTGGGGGCTTGCGTTCGCGCAGCCCCTACCCAATTTTAAGTTTAGTTGTTTATAAATGATCAAAGCATTAATGGATTTGAATTCAAGTTAAGTTGTTTACAAATGATCAAAACATTAATTTTTATTTGAATTCAAATATAAGTTTAGTTGTGTTATTGGTTTAGAATGTTGTCGAAAACTGTGGTTGTTACTGGTCATGAATGCTATGTTGGCATGTTTTTGGTTCGGAATGTTATGTAGGCCCGTCTAGGCGAGTATTTTTCGGTCTCTTCGTTTTGGTAGAGGAGATATATGGAAGGGTCCGAAATGATATGTTGGCATCTCAGGGCCTAGGCCTCGATCTGTTCATTTTGGTGGATATATATGATATAAGATTTGCGAAGATGACAGTAACTCAAAACAGGGGTCGTATTATTGATCTAAAATGCGCCACAATGTGTAGGAAACACCGAGTGAAATAGCACAAAGCACTTCTTATATCTTTGCATTAGTAGGGCGACCCCCAACTACAATGGAATTGTATCAAACCTCAAAACACTATTTGGTGCACAAAATGCAAAAACCTTAATTTTGATTGAAATGTTGACTCGGTGTAAGTGTTTAATTTAGGAAAGGATGTTGATTAGTTCTGCTGAAGCTACCAACAAGATGGCCTACACGAATCACAACTTTTGCTCAATCATACAATGATACAAATCATAAATTGGAATTGTATGGAATTCGACAACATTGTCAGTCGAATTTCATGTTTTCTGCGTCAAGCCTAATGGAATCGAAGAGCGCAGTAGACAGATAACGCTCTCCGAAGCTGGGGAACACAACCTGTAGAGACAACAAGGGAAAGCAGAGATGTTGATGGACTTGGATTGGGAGAAATGCAGCTCAGAAAGGTTCTATTTCGACTCGGAAAAGGTATTTGGACTTACAACAATGAGTTTCCCAGCATTTTCTTGCCTCTTTGCCAACTTTATACCAGCAGCTGCTGCAGCACCAGATGAAATCCCCACCTGCAAATTATTTGCAACAAGAGAAATCTCACATTCCGAAATTCTGTATCAGAAAATCATGGTGAGTAAAAAATTCGTAGAATCATCGTGATTGTAAAAGTGGTTCCAACTGATCGCTATCGTACCAGAAGACCTTCTTTTAGGGCAAGTAGCTTAGAAGTTTTGATAGCTTCCTCGCTGGATACCTAAGCGGAAACATGAGCATTCGTTAAAAGGAATTTCAAAATTATATGGACAATGTACTTGCTGTTATAACGAATGCATGCAAGTATCGGAAACAGTTAGAAACATTTTGTTTGACAAAGTAAAATCAATCTGTCAGGGCAAGAATTTGAACCTGTCCGTGAAAGATCATCTGTTATCGTTTCTAAAACGTTAAAAACCACGCCGATTACTGAAAAATATGATCGACTATAATAATGGTAGAACTAACTACTGAAAAATGCAACAAGGACTTGTGCAAGCGGACAATGTCACATCTAAAATATAATGATTTCAAGACTTACTTGAATAACTTCGTCGAGAAGGCTAACATCCAGAACTTTAGGTATGAAACCGGCACCAATTCCTTGGATCAGATGCATCCCTTTGAAGCATGTGCATATTATGTATCCAGATATGCATACATCAATATATGTGGACGAAATCTCAAGTACTGTGAAATAGTAACTCACCTGGTGTGCCACCATTCAACACAGCACTTTCGGCTGGCTCTACACCGTAAACCTAGACATAAACAAAACAAATCATAAGACTACACCATGTAAGTTATGACAGACTTCTTTCTTTACAAACGCGTATAACAAATGTATATACGAAAATCACAAAACGCAACCTTGATGTCGGAATTTTTCTCTTTTAGGAACTTCCCTGCACCAGTTACTGTCCCTCCAGTCCCTATCCCTGCAACTAGAGCATCAACTTTCCCTCCCGAGTCTCTCCATATCTCCGGGCCAGTGGTTTCATAGTGAATCTACACTAACGATAAGAAAATGATTCTTACGTTCTCAAACAAATCTAGCCATGTCATGGTTACTGCAAAAAGTACCTTTGGATTTGCAGGATTTTCAAATTGGCAAAGCATATGACTATTAGGTGTGTTACTCAGCAACTCCCCGGCCTTATCAAAAACTCCCTTAATACCCTTGGCAGGATCTGTTATGTACACCTCAGCTCCAAAAGCTCGGAGCACGATTCTTCTTTCGAGACTCACTATGGATGGCATGCTTAGCTTGAGCTTGTAACCCTTGCTAGCTGCAAGGAACGCTAATCCAATGCCGGTGTTTCCACTCGTGGGCTCAACGAGGACAGTCTTTGGCAAATCAATGCCCATGAATCATATAAACAACCAAGGGAAGTATGTTAGTTTAAACACTCCACATCTGGGATTATATTTTCATATTTTCTATCAAAAAATCTATAGGCTACCGCAAGCATATAAAATGTAAAAGCCATCCAACTACAGCAGTAAGCACAATAGTGTTTCAATCCAACCTCCCCTGGCGTAATCAGGCCTTTATCCTCTGCGTCCTTGATCATGCTATACGCAATTCTGCATAGTAAAATTTGAGACAGACTCCACATCCCTTGCTAAATTGTTTTCGTAGTAGAAAAACAAAACGAAGATTCTAAGGAAAAATAAGAAGGAACATGCCTGTCTTTCACACTAGAGCAGGGTTCCATTGTCTCTAGCTTGGCAGCAATTCGAGCTACACAACCATCCACAACATTATTGAGATACACCATCGGGGTATTGCCGATTAACTGCATAAATCACGTAAGAGAACGAAAATAAAACATATTTTAAGACACGTTAAAATCTACAAAAACTAAGATGAAAACGAGGTAAAGAATCATCGGAAGCGAAAGAATCTCAGAGAAATATTTACTTCGGTGACATCTTTCCTGATTGCACAGTTGCCCTCCATGTTATCTTTCCAGGCTGCAATTAAGCTGATAAAGAAGTGGAAGAGTTAAAGAACTTATAAACAAGAAGGTTGGCAAAAGAGATGACCAAAGTCTTACTTGCATACCAAGTAATTGCTGATAAAATATTGTAAATTTTATATAATATTTTGTAGCAGTTTTTCAAATTTTCAACCACATTCAGTACAAAATTTAAGCTGAGAAAGAAAACCCAATTATTTGACAATCAAACAAGGAGAACCAAAGTCTCATCGCAATTTGGGATTAATAAATAAATAATGATGATGATGATGATGATGATAATTATTTTAATTAAAAAAAAAAAAACAATCGTTGATTTCCAAATAATATAGTATTTCTAAGAGATACCGTGCGACTACTGGGAACTCTTTTGCTTTAACTTTCTATTATGTTTTAGTCAAAAAACAGCTTTGCACGCTTGTCATTCATTTTGCACTATTGACTAGGCAAATTCTTGGGTGTAACCGTGATATATTTGATCGAAGAGTAACAACTTAGTGAAACATGATGATATATATTATTTACATGAACATGGTTTGTAGCTTGTTTTCTCTTGGTTATAAGAGCGTTTGTAGCCCTAGGATTCTAATGTGAATTACTTGCCCGTAAGTGTTGGGTTGAGAACATTGCAGTTGATAACAATTACAGGCTAAGTTTAGGCACAGAAAGCGTATAAGCTAACGGTTCGGTACAAAATTAGACTTCCAACCGTTTATGGGTACAACCGTTTACAATATAAATTGATGATTATAGGTATTTTCCGTTGGTACAAACGGGTACTCATTTAACTCTCTTTTGCTTTTGCGTTCTCTTTCCTCTCGACTAATGGGAACATTGAAAACCCGGACATGAGGTTTGACTTTTAATTTTTTATCAGTGTAGTCTTAATTAAACTAATCCTTCATGCAAATTACATTTTCTCATAATAACAATAAATTAATTGTTCTGGTGTTCTGATTAGTGCGAATCCAATTAGTTTTGCCCATCCCTAGGTGTCATTAGAACATGTCCCACATCGACAAACTAAGGTCAAAGGAATCAGGCGGCACTGGTATAAATAAGAAACGATCAACCCGAGGAGAAATACTTACCTGGACAGGGTCTATGGCGATCATGAAGACTCATGGCCTGGGTTGGTGACCTTCATTGCACTCTGAAGGGGTGCCTGCCTATGGTCTCCTCAACGAAGGAGAGCCAATGTCATAATTTGTTGCTGTGGGGGCTTGCGTTCGCGCAGCCCCTGCCCAATCTCAATTAGAACAGTTGTTGATGCAAATAAAAAGCCTTTGTCTTTCCTTAAACAGAAACGAACCCAAGGATATTTCTTCACCTAAATCCAATTCCCTGTTTAGCCAAATAATGTACGTATTCATTGATGTTCTAGTGGTAAAGATGTTAGGGACTTACGTGGAATGAGTTAACGACGTTCCAAACCAAAGCCATGTAAACTACTAAGTCCAATCTGTTCCATTAAAGTCTTTAACTAAAGCCAAAACTAATAGTGATGTTCCAAACCAAAGCCATGTAAACTACTAAGGGCTGGTTTGGTATTGTTGTGCTTTGAAAAAAAAGCTGCTATGTGAGAATAAACAGCTGTGAAATAAAACAGTAGAGTATTTGGTAAACTTTTTTGTAAAAGTGCTTTTGAAAAAAAAAGCAATATTAGTGTTTGATGAACTTTTACGTAAAACAGATGTGAAAAAAAAGCTGGTTTTTCAAAGCTAGGATTTGCAGCTTTGTGTTTTTTGCTTTTTTTCACCCAAAACTATGAAAAAAAAGCTGAAGCTGAATGTTTACCAAGCTTTTTTTTATAGCCAATTTTTTCAGAATCACCTCACTACCAAACCAAGCTTAAGTCCAATATGTTCCATTAAAGTCTCTAACTAAGCCAAAACTAATAGTGACGTTCCAAACCAAAGCCAGCCATGTAAACTACTAAGTCCAATATGTTCCATTAAAGTCTCTAACTAAGCCAAAACTAATAGTGACGTTCCAAAACAAAGCCATGTAAACTACTAAGTTCAATTTGTTCCATTAAAGTCTCTAACTAAGCCAAAACTAATAGTGATGTTCCAAACCAAAGTTAGCCATGTAAACTACTAAGTCCAATATGTTCCATTAAAGTCTCTAACTAAGCCAAAACTAATAGTGACGTTCCAAACCAAAGCCATGTAAACTACTAAGTCCAATTTGTTCCATTAAAGTCTCTAACTAAGCCAAAACTAATAGTGACGTTCCAAACCAAAGTCATGTAAACTACTAAAAGTCCAATCTGTTCCATGGAAGTCTCTCTAACTAAGCCAAAACTAATAGTGATTGTACCGATAACTTAGATTAGCAAAACCAATCGCACTCCTTTTTTATTCTTAGTATATGTGTTGGAAAGTGACTGAGAATTTTGCCATAGAATGATAAATGTACCAAATTTAGCATACATATATTTTGATTCTAATACCTGGGTATTCCCTAGCCACTTGCAATATAAAATAATTGTCAATTTTTTTGTTATTGCAGATCTTTTTATTTAGGGAACTATTATTAGTACTCTAAAAATTTCATTATACACTCCTCACAAGTGTATTTTTTCTTCTTCTAATTATAGAAAGTTTGGAGTGCCAAATGATATTTTTGAAATGCTAATAACAATTCCTTTTATTCAAACAATAATTTAATTAAAATTAAAAACATAGAGATGATGAATTGAACTTAGATACAAAGCGGAGAATAACAATGATCTAACCAACCTAGTTAAACCTAGGTTAACAAAACGTAGGCCTTGGTATGCAAAACACTGGGTTATTGTGGAATTAAAAACATGGGTAGAAGGGGGAGCTATCAAAAATTAATGGTGGGACTGTTTATTATTTTGGTTTGCAGCCTTTGGTGCTGATGCTCACGTTGATCTAGTAGGTTTGATTTTAGCTAAAAATGGTAAATTCCCCTTTGCAAGCCTTGGTTTTTGTGCGGATTCGTCCCACATTGACCAAGTACAGAAAGCGGAGGGAAGTGAGGGAGTATAAATAAGAAAGGTAGGTGCCGTTTTAAACTTACATACCTGGACGGGGTCAAATGGGTGATCAAGTAGGCCCATGGCCTAGGTGGGTGGCCCCCATTGCACTCTGGAGGTGCACTTGCCTAACATCTCCCTAGAGGAGACTGTACGTCGTAATTTGTGGCAGTGGGGCTGTGTACGCGCGGCCCCTCTAAAATTCTATCCTCAAATTTTTTTATTTATATTGCCGTGTGATTCCTCAAATTCTATCCTCAAAACTTTTGAAGTACAAATTTTTTATTTAACGAATTAAAAAAATATTAAAATAAATCCGTAACATACAATGTTATCATTAGTAGTCATACTATACGGTCTATGCAAGTCTATAATTAGGAGTCATACTTTGAAAGGCACGTTCTGTGCCATTTGCCAATTCTCTTCTAATTTTGTTATCTATTAATCGATTGGAGAAAGAACACTTAATTTTCTTCTAAATGTATCTCTCTCACTATAATGAATTACAAAATAAAAAGACACGGACATAGCTTGAAACTCGAGTTGAATTGAATGAACCATATAAATACTCGTGTTTCTTGTATGCTTGCAGAATTTTACGTCTTGACTGCACTAATCCAATTTTTATCACGTTCATTTGCAAACATGCATTTTAATGAAAACCAATATTGACATTTCATATTGTTTGAATTGGCCAACTTTGCACTCAAATCATCTTGAAACAAAAATAATTAAGCTCTAAATCTTGCACATAGATGATAGACCACGAGAGAAAGTATTGTTACATGAGAGCTCTGTGCAATGCTTATATTAGATTTCATCTTGGTGATTCAATGAAGGCTTATTAATTTGTATCCCATATTATAATCCAATGGGGTCTCCCAGCTTGTGAAAGTTGAATGCATAAATCCCACACTTATCACATATAGGACTTATCAGGATAGTCAATTGGATGTGAGAAAGATCCCAAAAAAGTAAGCAACTTAATGGACAAGATGCGCACGAGTCCCACATCGGCTAGAGTTAAAGTAAGAGAAGAGAGCAGGTGCTATAAAATGGAGTGAGAAGCAACGAAGCAACATACTTACCTGGACGGGGTCAATGAGCGATCATGAAGGCTCATGGCCTAGGTTGGTGACCTTCATTGCACTTAGAAGGGGTGCCAGCTTAAGGTCTCCCCAAGTGGGAGAGCCTACGTCATAATTTATTGCACTGGGGGCTTGCGTTCGCGCAGCCCCTGCCCAAATATAAGTCAGAGTTTTAATAAACCAATCAATAATATTTGAAATTTTCATCCAAATTAATTCTTTAGTATGATTGTGTTCTTTATTTTGCTTAGCAACCACTGAAAAGAGGTGACACGAGCTCAAGGTAGAAGTGGGACAGAGGCGTTAGGCGTTTTTCAAGGTGGTTTGGTTCGAGTTGGATTTCAGTCTGTTATTTTTCACCCCGTTATTCAAGAGTCGGCATTATTGAAACCCACCTTACGAATTTTCTTGCCTCTGCTCAACCTTTCTACCCCACCTATAAGTAAGATAGAGCTGGAACCGGAGGCTTTGGGCCCAAAGATTGCACCCCGAACTATCAGGGCTAAGGAAGCAACTCAAGGAGCTGATCGATGCCGCATAGCCTATTGCTTTCTTTTTCATTTCTACGTGAGTACAAGTGACAAATTCAAGGCCAATGTTATATTTAGACCTAAATTTAGTGAATTGGTGTTGTAGAATCCTTCCGTGTTACATAACATTAAAATTTCATCATTCATAAAGTACAAGTACGTTCAAGAGTTGTTGAATTGTATATGTTTGTTTACCAATTACCTTATTATAGCGTATAGGTCATCCTATGCCCATGCATAACACTAATCAAAGATGATAACCTATCGTTCTACAAAACCTCTTATCAGTTGCATTGGTTAGTAGACCCTGCATCATGGCTCAGGATCAGAGACCTTCATATTAAAGTGCGGCTTTTAACCAC